CCACAACAGAATATGAAGTAGTAGTGTTCTGGAAGGAAGCGTAAAATAATCAGCAACAATCAAAAAGAAACAGTTTATTCTAATTTTGTATGTTTTATTAATGTTTTGCTTTGTTTTAATTTAATATTTATTATGCATTCTTAACCTTGAGACACATGTACATGCACAGCAAAAATCCAGTTTATCATTATGTCTTATTCATACAAGTATCTCTTTAGTGTAACAACCTGTATTCTGTATGAAGGTATTCTGTTGTATACCTACCTCTACAGCCATCGGAAGGCAGCAGGTACACAGTGATTTCCTTCTACAGGCTCTAGAGCATCTGAGTAACAAAGTCTGACTTCATACCCCACATCCACCAGTTCTCTGATCAAATCTTCCACAACAAGCATCTGATTGATGGTGGTAAACTAAACATGCAAACTGTGTTGTATGTAGATCTAATTGGCTGGTTGTGAATCATACTTCTAAAAAGATTCCTAGTTTACACTGTGAAAGTCATCATCACTGTGGCATGTTATGATATCCCAAGGATATTTGATACAAATATTTTATTCAGGGCCATAAATTATAAGAGTTTTTCTCCTTTCTACATCAATAAATTCCCTCACACCCACCTGTTCCCATCCATCCTCTCTCAAGTCTTTCCATCTCAAGTTAAAAACACCATCAGTCGCTATGGCTCATCACTAACAATGGCCATAATGTTAGCCAATAACTGTGACTTCATTTTGGCCTTTTCCTCCCAGCCTCTAATGTAAGAGAGTCTTGCTAACTATCATTTACCTGAATATACCTCTGGAGGATAAGGCACAGAAGCGACAAATGAGCCCCTGACTCTAACTTTTAGAAGTCATTTCACTTAATGTTGGTTGCTGCTATTCAGGTGCACATGCTGCTTGGCCTTCTTGCCTCGGGCAAAACAGAGATGAAAGGCATCCCCCCATGGACAAAAGGGCAAAGCCCTCTGTGATGTAAAGACCTTTGCAGTCAGGGAGGCAACCAGAATGACGCAGGATAAGCATTTTCATTATGTGAGCAAAGCTGAGCAAATGCCGTCTGGACAAACTTTAGGATTAGAGGAGAGATGGCATAGCATTTCTGTCTGAAGGTATGGACCATGTCAAAATGGACCAGTGAACCCAGAACACGTGACCAAGGTAACGCCTGTTTCTATAAAACATAAATGTCACGGCTGAATGTCATGAATCTATACAATGAAGCCTGAAAAAAAAGTTAACTTGGCTGAAATACATAAAGAACTAGCCAAAGCTCATTCAAAATAATAACATGTACATCTTCCATAGTGTAACTCAATTCTCAAATGGATGAAAAACATGGTAAAAGTAAAGCTACAAACCTCCTCATATCCTCTATTTTCTCATCTCCCAAGTAGTTGGAATCTTGCCCTTGTGGTTGCTTTCGCTGAAAATCTGGAAAGCACAGACTGGCATCTCTCCTCCCATAGTATTGGCAGAACTCATCCACATCAGCTTGGAACAGTTCTAGCAAACACAACATACACAAACAGACAGAGGATCATACACTTACTGTAGATACTGCATGGTTAAATTACTTTATACTCTAGTTCTGTTGTACTATATGTGTGTGCATGCATGACTATGTACAAGTCAGGACATAAGAAGAGGAGAGAATCAGAGGAAGAGAGAAAGGATGTGATGTGCTTGTGTGTTGGGGAGGGTTAGAGTTATGCTTGATGAGCCAAACCAAATCCTGGCTAAACTGGGCTGAAATTAACAAGTGAAGAAAAACTGGGCCAAACCAAATGGATCACAGATTAGACAGGGCTCTGCAATAAACTATGCCTCCTCTACAGAGCAAAACGATTGCATTCTCAATTTAAGTTTACGCTTTCATTATTTTGATTTAGTAAATTATGTTTGTGCATTAGCAATTAGTAATGGATTCCTATGGACTGGTTTTTTTTAGGTCTATTCAGCAAGTAGTAGTGTATTATCAGTGATAATTACAAATAACATATATCAGCTGGTTCGTGGATCATTTCAGGGTTGGCTTGGTGTTCTGTTGATTAGGGACATCCTCAAATTATTGTTCTTCAGAAACATGCTGTATCTAGAAAGGACACACACGTTCCTTCATCCCACAATATAAGCTCCACAGGCAGTTTCAGCATGATTCTGAAAGATGTAAGGCACACAGAAAGGAGAGTCTTCTATATGATTGCTAGATTATTAAAGTGGATATCACATTTAAACTCTGGTCAAGAGTATTTCAATTTTTACTTGTCTTAATGTCTCCTTGGCAGTGAACTCAGGGGATTAAATTGAAATTATGAAGAAACAGGACAAAATAACTATAGAGCCTTTGTTCTATGCTCTGCAACTAAAAACTTCATATACAGAAAAACCCAACTTGAGTGTTTGAGAAAGAAATCATTTTCAGCACCTCATATAAGCAATACAATAACAATCAAATTTTACATCCATCCATAAGCAAATTACCTCACCATTACAAAACCACAAAGCCCTGATCTTTCAAGGAATAAAGTGATATTCCTCCACACCTAGCCGGTCTAGAGGCTCTGCTCACATCAAAAGTTGACGGGTAAATCATGTCACAACTCTTACTGTCGCCTGTCAAAACTAGCATGACTAAACGGTGTACAATTAATTAACTGGTGGAAAGAAACACTTTATTATTCATGCAATTCTTTAGGATGCCTAAATTATCTTTAATGACCTAAACACTTGTTCTTTCCTTCAAACAGGTGTGACTATTTTGTTTGTATTACTGTGCAACACATGGGCATGTACAATGAAACAACCTGTTCAATATTGCATGTAGTAAACAAAAATGTTTTCCGGTTGAGAGATATTCTTTGCCAAACAAAGACGCAATGTTCCCAAATATTTACTGAGTTGAGTCTCAGCAACTTCTGGCCCCATGATCTTACAGAAATCTTTTTTAACCTTTTCAGTCTGCTTTTAGAGCCTGTTACTCCACCAAAACTGCGTTTGTTTTCCACCTCTGCCCTTCAATTACTCGATCTTGGTTTAGCTTTTGACACCATAGATCACTGTAAACTCCTAGACAGACTGGAAAATCAATTTGAAGTCTCTGTCCAGGCTCTTGTGTAGATTAAGTATTGCATATCTGAAGGAACACAGTGTGTTTTCTATAGTAATACTACATCAAAATTTTATGATGTGAAATATGGAGTACCCCATGGCTCTGTTCTTGGCCCTATGCCTTTCTCTTTTTCTATTTCACCTCTTGGTCAAATTATATGCAGTCATGAAATTTCCACTGCTACACTGATAATACTCTGCTGTTTTCAAACTTTGTCAGATGTATGTGCCTGTAAAGGCGGATGAACATACCCAGCCAAGAATCTTGGTATTACGTTTGCCCCCTCACACTAGTATAACCTCTTGGCTGACATCAGACAGTCTGACTCTGTTGAAGCCTTTAAATCCAAACTTCAAACTTGTTCTTTGCGCCTGAACTTTTACTTGGTTGCTTGTTCTGTTATTACTGCCTTGTACCTGTTACCATTATCCTTCTGATGGGTCGGTCTCAGTCTCAAGTAATCTATCAAGCTATCTCTTTCTGTGTTCTCTCTCTCACTCTCTCCCTAGTTTCTCCTCCTTGTCCTCTTTTTTCACTCACTTTGGACATTCGGCCATCCTAGGACCTCTCTCTCTCCCCTGGCTATCGGTGCCTCATTCCAGATGTTTTGGATCAGAATCTTCGTCCTCCAGGAGATTCAGCCTCCCCTCTTGTCTCTGTCTCTCCCTTGTGTGCATGTTGTCCTTGTCTCCCTCTCCCTCTATGTGTTCTCATATCTGTGTGAATGGCGTGCTTGAGTTTTGCCTCTTGTGTGTTGGTGTAGTCTGTCTCTCAGGCTCCATCTGTTTGGCAGCACCTGGAAGTTACTCAACATCCTCCTGGATTAATATTCTTCAAATATCTTTCAATCTATCTATAATGTTGTAATCCTGATTGTTCATGCTGTAGTTTTACTATGTTGGCCTATTCTGTACACACAACATCTACTGCATGCCTTCCTTCCTGGGAGAGGAACCCCTCCTCTGTTGCTCTTCCCAAGGAAGATTGAGTTTTTTTGTCCCACTTTTTTAGTTTATCCTTATCCAAATCAAAGGTGTGAAACTCCTTGCGGTTTATAATTTGCAAAATTGGGCTGTGTAAATAAAACTTAATTCAATGTAAAACATCACATCATTACTTATTTCAGTGCCAGTACAAAAAGTGATCTACGTAAACATGGCAGTCACAAACAGCTACGCCTCCAGCCTGAGCAGTATCAACATTATTCCCGGCAAAAAGCATGCAGTGGGTCTCAGAGGCCCTTTGTGACCTAAAAACAATCTTGCCAATATTGTTTCCTTTAGTCAATCCCTCAGAGGACAGAGGAGAGCAAATACACCAGTGATAAAAACACAAACAGGACTCTCCCTGTCCCAGCTTTCATCTCTCTCCTGCCACACACCGACCACAAGCGCTGACCACACCAAATACTGGAGGTGATAGGATATCCCCTCAAACATCTAAACACAACATGAAGATCAAACACACAGAAACACACACACACACACACACACACAGCTCTGGCTATACCACCCACCCATTTGTGTCTGCAGTTATCTTAACCATGCTGGTTGGGGACCTCAAGTGCAGGGTGGTAGGATGAGTGAAGAGGGGAGGAAGATATGAGAGAAGAGGAGTAAGGGGAAGGTGGGAGGCCTCCAGGCAGAAGTGAGAGTCAAGGCAGTAAATGTCTTTATGGAGAAATGGGGGCTAAGTACATGGCCTAATCAAGGGCCACTAGGAAATTTCATGGGAGCTGTTATGGATGCTGTAAAAGCTACTGTTTAATTTTAATACCTTTGGTCAGATGAATAGCAAGAATTTTAAGGGCATATGATATTTTCTGTTCATGTTTGTGCTTCACTGTTACTGCATCACATCGTAAGACACAGGGTCACAATTTGTATTAAATATTTTAAAATGCCAACAAAATTGTTACTGTTGCATATACAATGCATATAACTTTTTGGGAGAGCGTTCTCTCTGCAGTAGGATTCAGTTGAATTTATTGTTTTGTATTTAGTAGGGTGTGCATTTTAAGTTTATTGTGAGATATTTCTAAAACCAAAAGCTTTGACAATATATCAAACCTTTATTGTACTGTGTGCACTGATAGAAACGAGACTGGAAAAGAGTATGAATCAAGTCAAAGAGAAGAGGAAAGAGAGAGAGAACGAAGAAGGGGATAAAGACAGACAGAGAGCAAGGGTAAGAGAGAGAGAAAGAGAGAGAGAGAGAGAGAGAGAGAGAGAGAGAGAGAGACAGAACTCTGTCCATATTCCCTGTTCCCCAGCGCTAAAGTTATACTTCCATCTGGTTATCTTCCAAAGCAACCTGGGTGGCCCACCCAAAGTACTTGACATCTTGATGCACTTCAGCAGTTTTACATACACACAACCTTTGTAGAAAAATAAATGTGTCATTCGTCACCACATATGCTGATCTGTGGAGGGCTGGGGGCGGGGGGGGTGCGGGAAGGAGCACAACGGTGAACGGAGGGGGGGGGATTCTTCTCTGGATTCCTCTCTTGAGCTTTTTTGGTTTGACTCTGTGAGCCCATATGTCAGCTCATGAGCAAGTAATGTTGCTCAAGACAAGTCGTCGTCTTCCCTCCTCTCTCTATGCTCTGTGGAGCCCCACTCGCCAACCTCAACTGTAGTTCAAGTGTTGTACAAGATATGCCAGCAGCCCATTAGATGCAGACGAGGATGGACTCAGATGGAATGTATGTGTTTGAAATTTGACTTGAGCTGCAGCATACCATGTGGGTGGGTTGCAGACAAGTGTGTTTGAAACTGTTCTCTGTTTGCAAATCTCGGCAGATCTAATCAGTTTGTGGCGACAGAGATTGGAAGAAGACTTGGCTGGAGGAGAAAATACAGTCAAAAGTGTTTGATCATGTTTGGTATGCACTCTGAAGGCACAGGTACCTGCGATCTTGCATCCCTTCAAAGGAAATTCTTCTGAAGACCAAATGCTTTCAAGGGGCAGAAGGGTTCCTATCATTTAGCAGTAACTAAAACTGTTGCATCAATTAGTTTTTTCCCCCTGCTGTGTGGATTCTGCCATCTCATAGTAGAGCTCATGGTCAGAGAGGACAGGGACGAGTAAAGCAACACTTCAACTATGTTTAGATTAATGTGAATTTACTACTCAAAAGAAAACATACTAGTGGCAGAGTATGAGACAGACGTTTAAGTGACAGTTTATGTCTGAGGAAGGCAAGGTGCCGGGCAGTCATGTCTAGACCACAGAGGTGGTTATGCATCCTGAATACAGAATCAACCTCAGGAGTTGAGTCTGGTGAGCAGTATCCAGGAACAGGTCATAAAATAGATAATTTTGCTCCAGTCCAGTTTTCTGGTACACTGGTCAGGCGCTGGACTGGTTTTTGTTGTTTTTGCATGTGAGGGATTTGTTTTCACACCCATCTTTGCAAATCAAATATTTTCCATTCACATGTCAGGAAATGCCCCAAATTTGGTGTATTATGACACTCAAAAAAGTATTGTTTTTGCAAATTTATGCTGATGAAAATAAACTTGCATAATCTAGATAAAACTAACAGAGACAAGAGAACAAAATGTTTTGCACCTGGTGCCATAAACACAGTCACAGTGAATACTGTCATAAAAAGCACCAATATCGCTCTGCTTCTTGCTAGATCAGTATGCAGACTAATCAGCAAACTGGCGTTGCGTCTGTATAGGCAGTGTGTGGCGAGTAGTTTTACTGATGCATTAAAGTGAAACAGTAAAGCAAGGCAGCAAGCAAGCAAACGAGTGAGACAAGCTCAGCAACAAATGGAGGTGAGGTCAGATGAGGTAAGAGCTGGATAAATAAATATTCACAGACCAGACTACTGACGCACCACTTCTTGCATAAGTCCAAAAATCTGCCAGTTCTACATGTGCAGGCCGAGTCTCAATGAGAAATGAGGCCTGCTGTGAATTTTAATTCATCTCAATCAGACGTGTGAATGTCATTTAAAATGTATGAGAGACTGAGCAACTCTAACGTATGTCTACTTTCACTTACTCTATTCATGTGTATATGTTTGGTTGCGCATCACCAGGTAACCACAAAGGGGCTATAATTCAAGTCACATTCATGGTCATTATTATCGGTGTAATTACCTGGTATGTGCCCCCTGCAGGTGTAGTAGAACTCGCGGCAGAAGTCCTGGCAGAGCCGTGGCAGGTCTGGCTCCCTGTGTGGCATCTTATCCATGTCCAAGGAGTGGAACAACACCTGGGCATTGGGGGAGCAGCGAGCACACTTGATCTCCTCCAGGAGACGTCCACATTCAGTGTTGTTGGTGGAGAAAATCTGGAGACCACACGCAACAAGGACCAATGATTAAGCTGGTGGGCTGTTAACTTTTATTCCTTACATCAATTCGCACAGGCAAGCCACCATGTAGTTTAGGATTTGCTGGATGTTTGGTGATATATCATAAACATTACACTATGAAGGAAAGTTTAGATTGTAGGGTGCATTTTCAAATCTTCTTTATTATGAATTCCTGACAACTTAAGACACTGTCTGAGATTTTCAAGGACTATGCAACTATACAAAAATGTGATGTTTCCAAAGGATCCCAGTGAGTCTAAATTACCCTTTTAAAGAAAATATTAGACAACTTTTGTTTTTAACTTTGTTAGATATGTATACATCAGCCCATGTAATATGTAAAATGTAAAAAAAATATAAAAGGTTTCTGATTAAATGTTTAGATGGTTCCTACGATAAAAACAGAGATGCTTAAGCACTTTCCAGCCCTCACCAGACCTTCCTGTTTAACAGCCCTAAATTAGCCAATCTCACCCCACTTACCACACAGAAAGTCAGTGAGCTCTACTTTACACAAATACTCACAAAGTTACAACTTACTTACAAGTTATAACTCCTTGTTAACAACATATTTCTCCCATATGATACATGCACAGTGAGATACTCTGTCATAAACCCATTCCTCCACATGCCAAATCATATGTTAAACGTCAATGTCATCAAGGAGTCTGTTGTGTGGTTAGTCTGGATAGTTATTGTTAGCATTGGGACTGTGCTGAACAGTTTGTTCACACAGAAACTTTCTTTTTTTTTCATAGCATCATCTGTAGAATGAGGAGGGAGACAGACAATCCCTTCCATAGTGTGAAAGTTTGCAGCATCTCGACCACGATCTGCATGAACGTTCACACCACTCACACTACAAAGACACTCAAAATTTTCACTGGGAATGGTGGTAGAGCTTCGTTTTCCCACTGAAACATTTTTTACAATCTCATGTACACAAACTCAATAACAAAAACCATGAAATTTGAATTTTTAAAGCTGAATTATATTGATATTTCTATCACGTTTCTATCCAATTTTCTGTAATATTCAACTCCACAGCCTTTGATTCCAATTTGTTAAACATTGAGGTTGGAACACCCTGTCTGTTTAGAGAAATAAACAAAGAAATCATCTCATTCACTGCCTACTTACCCAGGTTCATAAACAGTTAAAAGTCAAATTACAATTCCCATGTCTGACAGATCTCTGGGCATTAAATGAATGAAGTCGAATAAGAGCCTCAAAGTCTGACTTGGGGTCATTACGCAAAAGTACACAGAGTTAATCCAAAAGAAATTAGCAGGATTATTTACATAACAAATTAGCTGTAATAAAACACAATGTAATCTGTTTTAGGTCAAGAGCAGCGCTGCTTGGGCAGCCAGGCAGGCAGGCTGGTAGTGCTTTGCTCTGTGTGAGGTCCATGTGTAAACACCAATTTAGAGATAGACAGGCACATCATTCCCACTCTGGTATCAACAAATTAGCAGTCTGTCGAAGTCAATTAGACCAGCGAACCCAAGGCCAACATATGGATGCCTTACACTTCGCTCTGACTGCAGAACAAACTGCAACTGAGTAAGATTTTCTGTTAAGTTATTCAGAGCTGTGTTTACCCAACAGGTGGCAGAACCTCTGGGAAAACCTTGAGGGTCTACCTGAAAAATATACTAACATATACAGGAAATCTCTCATCACAAAAAGGCAGTATAACAGACTAATTGAAGAGGAAAAAGAAATTCTAGCCCTTTCCAGATCCCATAGTCAAACTCTGATTTGAATCCCTCTTTTGTCCTTCATTTTATCTAATTGACTTTTCCTCAAAAAGGGAGCTCCAGGCTGGCTATGACCCTATGTGTGTGGTGCGTTCCTCTGTCTGCGTGCCCTCTTCACTCATGCCATGTAGTGTTGTGGGCATGCCTGCCCTCCTGCTCTAAATTGCCCATTGATTCTGTGTGCCATGGGCTGGCACAAGGTCCACGGAGAGTAGCATTTGTGTGCTCTCAGCCATGCCCTGTGTCCATATGTTGCTGGGATGGGCTCCAATGTTGCCATCATCCAAACCAGAACAAGTGGACCTTTGTTTGTTGTCTTTTGCTTGAATCTCAGTGAGTACGTTCCTCAAAAGCAGGGAGAAAATGGCAATGAAGCTCAGCTGTTGCACTTTTGCTGGGGACACACCGAAGCAGGTCAAGCACAGAGCCATAATCGAACCAACGTGGAGCTATAATAGCATGAGAAAATAAAATTCCCATTAATGTATCCCCGGAGCTATTTCAGATGTTTACATTTTCTAAAGCTGGCATCACACCAAGCTGCAATGCACAGCTTCATACGGGAGAACAGCTGTTACGAGATTACTTCTCTCTACAATAGGATCTGCATAATGGCTTTCTCCAATGGATTTACCGGAACAAACATATTAATATACAATGCCACACTCTTTCAATTGCAAAAAACAAAACAAAAAAACAGTGGCTTTGCAACCGTCATATGCTCAGAGAGACTTGGGAGAGAACTGATGTAGGCAAAGCTTTCACAAAACACTTGTCCTCAGGGAATAGGTGTAAGTTGGTTGGCAGGGGGATATAGTGAAGGACACACACACACACACACACACACACACACACACACCCTCTCAAAGGCATTAACACTTGGACAGGGCTGATGACTGGGGGAGAGTGATGTTCTCCAGCTTCTCCCATTAGCGAAACCAACAAACACAATGGTGTTGTTGTTATTCTTTTGCCATAATCAGAAAGGGCTCCGTGTGTGGGCAGTGTAGTGGGGAGGAGGAGAAGTCGAGTTCGTCCTATTCAGTCCCCCCCCACCCCAACCCCAACCCCAACCCACCCCTCTCTTATTTGCATGACTTGAGCAAATTAAATGATGCAATATGGCTTTTTTGTCGCAACACAAAGTAAGATACCACCCAGCTACTGAATGATTCGGAGAGTGGTTTACATGAGAATGGCCCGGTGAGGATCCAACGGAATCCGCCACAACTTTGGCGCATACAGTCGCTTTTTTCCCCCCCACCCCCCGTCCGTACGTCCGTCCGTCCGTCCGTACGTCCGCCCCCGACACGGAAACTAAGCAGAAGTTTAAAACCCTGGCTTAACATGACATTTTAACACGTATTGTTATTATTTATTTTTTTTACCACTTCCCTCAACGCCATAACGGTCAACAACGGTGTTACGTAAACAGCGCGAGCCCGGTAAATATGTGGAACTTTTCCCGTTAACGTTCATACGTTCAACGGCTAACGTATGAATCCCTGTACGTTGACGCCGAAAGCAGACGACACGAAAACAGTTGAGTATCTGCTCCCAGCTGCGGTGAATAAAAAAGGGGTCGACGGCAGATTAAAAGAAAAGAAAAAAGAAAAGGTACAACCGGACTCGTACCTTTTCGGGTAAACGGTTAAACAGTTTTTTTTTTAGCTAACGTTAGTACCGCTTTCGTCTGACCGTTGGAGCAGACTGGCGAGAAGTAACGTAAATCGGCGAGTGATTACCATGGTAACGCAGAAGCGCATTCGGACAGCTGAAATGATTGTGTAGAGCGACACACCCGGTAAACAACAAGACATACCTGGACATGTGTTTAACATTTCAGACCAGGTAAACTAAGAGGAAACAGGTCAAACCCATGCAGAGAGGATAGACAGCCCCCAATACGAGCAAGTGAAGTTACTATTGTATATAAGTTTAAGTTGTCTATGAGGAGACATTACGCTATAAGACACTACAAACATAAACAATGATAAATAAATAAATAAATGACAGTGCAGAGATACAGCATGTCACAAATGGGGGGGGTTACAAGGCGAACCTAAAGGTAATAGTAATTGCATTATCTATTTAATTATATTATATAATCATACACAATTATATGTCCCTGTAGGAATGTTAAAATAAGACCTCTTTCATGGGGACACTCAGAGGCAGCATAGCCCCCGGGGGCAATTTCCAACCCCCTGACCATCCCCAAAAAAACTCAGCTGTCGGCAATAAGTAAGCGGAATGACAATAACAAGGGCTTGTAAATGCATCTCCTGAGGCGATTTTTAAGCAGTTACCCCCCCACCACCACTTTAAGTTGAAGAAAGTGCAACAACGCGGTGGATGGGCATTAAAAAAACCTACCCTGGCATCCCTGCGGTGCAGGATCTGATAGGCGGCTCTCCTGGTGGGGCAGCAGGACACACGGGGATACAACCTGTGGCAAACTTCTCCGCTGCTGCTGCTGCTGCCGTCAAGCAACACTTTTCGCTCCCTTTTCTTCAGCCGCTTGGGCAAGCTTCCGTCGTAACATCTTCTCCTCCTGGGGCTAATTTCTCCCCTCTCGCCGAATTTTGCGTCCCCACATTCCCACACGTTGACCGCGATGGCCAGGACGAGCACAAATTGCAAATGCTTCATAGTGTTTTTTCAAAAAATCATATAAAAAAAAATAAACAAAAATATGAAAATACAACCCCACAAAATAAAAAAAACCACTAGATAATACACCCCTCCTTTTTTTCTGAAAAGAATGGGGGTTAACCTGCAATGTAATATATATATATATATATTTATATATATATAGTTTTATTTAGGCTCTCCAAGCAGCAGAAGCCAATTACTACTACTACTACTACTACACACACACAAATGACAAATATGCAGTTTGTCAGAGCAGGTGTCCTTAAAATTTGATTCACTGCTATAAAGAAAGAGGTGTTTAAAAAATAAATTATAGTTGCTTCTGCTTATAAAGCACAGCTCAGAAATTTAAAAAAAAATGGGGAAAAAAATGAAAAAATAAAATAAAAGCAAAAAACAATAACACAATTTATCCTGATGAACAACAAAAAGTCAGAAACACCCCCCCTCAACACACACATAAAAAAAACAAAAACACCGTGAACTGCAAAAGAGCCGTGACGTCCCTTTAGATGTAATTCCTTTTAAGCACAGCACGGCGGTTTGTGCAATGCACGGGGGTCAAAAAAACACATATAAGACATAAAAGTTGTCTCTCACTAAAGTCCTCAGACCGCTCACATGTTTCCCCGTGCTCTTTCCTCCTTCTTTTTAACCAGCGCGCGAGAAGAGGAGCGAGCACGGTGACGTATGACTTCGCGGGGGCGCGCATGTGGCCACAGTCGCGTCCACGTCGAGGTAAACAGTTACCTGGTAAGAGCGGAGGACGGGGGGGGGGGGAGCGGAGGAGGCAGCCCGAGGAGGAGAGAGAGAGAGAGAGAGAGAGGGAGAGAGAGGCTCGGTGTGTGTGGAGGCTCAGTCGACCGGAGGAGTCAAGAGAGAATGATTACTCAAGGGTCTAACTTCAGCTTTAAATGTTTCATGTAAACAAACCATTATTTGTATTTTGTTTTTTGGTAACTTGTAGGCTAATAATTGAGTGATAAATATATGACTTCCCTGCTTAATCAAACAAAACAAAACACACACAAAAAAGCCCTTTTTCTTTTCTTTGCTCTTGCAGACAACAAACCTCAATCATGTAAACCTCATTCTCTGTTTTTAATTTCTCTCTGGCAGCTGAACATGTCTTTCATATTAGTAAGTACAGTTACATTTACAGTACAAACTGTATATCAGTACAATTCTGAGGCACTTGTACTATAATGCAGTGTTTTATGCTTCCACTCCACTACATTTCAGAGGAAAACGTTGCACTGTTGCAGACTCAGATTTAACATACAAATCATATGGTAAGTTTATAATGTCTTGCTATAGATTTAACACTATATAAAGTAGTTAAAATTAGCATTTTTACATCATCGTGCATCAGTGATAACAATACAATATATAATAATATAACTCTTATAGGTACAATTCTCCTGCATATTGAATACTTTTTGCTTTTGCTGCTTTAAGGACACTTCTAATATTATGTTTGTATTTTTACTTAGCATGGTTTTTACTTGTAGAGGAGTATTTATACATTGCAGTGTTGGTACTTTTATAATAAGTAAGGATACATCTTCCGCTGCTATCCATATGGTGGAGTTACCTCATGGATATGTATGTGAGCCAAGTCTTAAAAAAATATTTGAAAAATGATCCATAGGTTTTTATCAGTTCTCAAATAACTGAGCTTATGAGAGGGGCGTGGAGATTTCCGCAGGACACCAACATTATGAAAATGGAGAATATAATGTTACATCACAAACTGTGTCATGGGTGTTTGACTTTGTTTCTAAATATAGTCTAAAAGGTTTATTCTGGTAACCGCAGAATGACAAATTACAAGTGTTAGGCAGTGGAAAATCGGCTACAACGTGAATCAATCACTGTGACCTAATGGGCAGCAATTTGATGCCCTACAGTTGAACATACTGTAAGGCATCTTACTTTGGCTCCTGATAATACCAAACCAAATGTGGGACGAATCCTCTTTCATTCCCCTCTTCAGAAAAGTCTCACGATAGCGATCCGAAAGGGAATGTCCAATCATGGCAATTACTGGAGAAACAACAGCCACCCCCCCCCCCCCTTTTTTTTTTTTTTTGGATACACAGAGAATCTGAAATCAGTTACATTAGCGGCACCTGTTCTTACTTGGGGGTCTCCGGTACTCACCAGAGCCCCAGCTCAGCTTATCTACAGGAATCTGGAGCGGGAGGAATCCAGGAGGGGTTGGTTTGATTGTGGGCAATTATGGAAATGACTGTGTGTGCTATGAAGCCGTGGCAGACCATGCCAGATCTGACCCCCCACCCTCTACATTCTTTACGTTACCCAACTGGAGACATTTCAGGACCAAGTATAGCCAAAGTGCTACTGCAGTATTCTGGATGTAAAGGAGGGAAGGAACAAGACCATATGCAGAGAAGGAATCTGCCACCACCACCACCACCACTACCACCACCACCACCAACACTCGAGCTCCTCGCAGAGAAAGGAATATAACTGCATTGTCGAACAGCGTGAAAACATGTGGGATGCAGCTGTGGAGCAGAGAAGAGTACATCTGCTGGGAGAGATAGACCATTAGAGAGAATCACAGTTCGACAGACCGCAGTCCTAAGCTGACAGAGTCCTAGTGAGGCGCAGCACACACACGCACACACGAAGAAATAAGCAAACAGCCATACGGTGTCTTCTCTCACAATACTCGATCTGAATTAATTTGGGTTTATTACATTCTTCACATAGCATTTCAGGTGCGGAGAGACTATGTTTGTAACTCATTATTGATATGAATAAAATATTAACAATGATAATTCCCTGAAAAAGATACCACCTGCTTTGCTGTTTTATTTCTGCAGGGTCAGTTGGGGAATTCTCAAACAGTCAGCGTCTGACCCTCTGAGAGGATATCCCGGAGGATGATGGTTAGGTTTTTGCGTGTGACCACATGAGGATCAACAACATGAGTCTGGAGCTTTGCAAGCTCTCATTGCTGCCTCTACTGTTTCCCTGACTGAGGAGATGTTGAAAGCTTACTCTGTTCTTGCTGTCCATTCTGTTCCTGCATTGTTTGCTTCATAACTCAGAATTGTAATCACGAGCATACACAACAGGACTGATGACAGAACTCCATTTGTGCTTATTCAATTTTTCCATTCCAAGCTGGCAAAACCACTACCTCACACCTCACAGTTCATAAGTCCACCTAAAGTTGTCTCCAAGTGTTGTCAGAGGTGGCCAACACTAAGCTGTGGGTCCAACAGAATTCATCTGTAGAGCTGCAAGAAAAGTGGGAATTTTAGCCCTTTTTTTTGACTCAGTAATTTTGTATGAACATGAACAGAACAGAACATCTTGTCCAAATAATGGTAAAAATTGGAATCAGTTCATGTTATACTGTTGTCATGTTGCTGTGATTTATGAATCAGAAATTCAACCTGTTTGTGACAATTCTGTTTTCAAGTGATCCTAGTAGCATGGCTCTGTGGACGGTAATGGTGGACTGGCTAGCTGTTGGCCCACCAATCTGATCCAAACTGAAATACCTCAATAATAATTTGATGGGCTGGCATGAAAGTTGGTACAGACATTCATGACTCCTCAAGACTTTGGTGATCACCAGACCTTTTCCTCTCGCACCACTACTGGCTTCACATGTGTAGCTTTGAGTGAAATGTCTTAACAACTATTGGACGGATTGCAATGATATCTGTTATGCACATTCATATGATATCGTATTACAATCACTTAATTACAATTCATTGATTGATTCCTGAACTTTTCCATCGGGATAAAATGTCTTACTTGTTCACTTTGTCGAATACTTTGGTTTAGTGATAATTAGCTAATGTTAGCATGCTATCACGCTTAACTAAGATGGTGAACATGGTAAACATTACACCTGCTTAATATCAGCATGTTAGCCATGTCATTGTGAGCATGTTAGTGTGCGGATGTAAGCATTCAGCTGAAAGCACCGCTGTGCCTAATACAACCACACAGAGTCGCAAGAGAGGCTCTTGGAAGGAGTTTGATCAACCTTTTGTAAATTTGCATAGTAAAGTATCACAAAGGTATTATCTGAAAGTCGGACTAGTGGCGAGTAGATATCTAACAGTATGACTACAGCGCATTCCCCTCTACCATAGAATTGGAGCACATGCAATGCATACAGAATACATGCAATGTAGCCCCGCAGCGTCACATCACATTATACCATTTTTCTCAACTCCACAACTAACATGAAATCATTAACGTCAGCTCACTGCTAACAGTCATTCAACCACGTGTGTACTTTTCTTTCATGGCTTCCATCCCTCACCTTGCAGCACACAGCAGCATTGTGTTACTCTCACACCTTCTTTAATGGCCCAGCTTTGGCAATTGCAAGCCCTAAGGCATACAGAGCTCGGAAAGTGTTCACAATGTCATTAATAGTCCTGACAACAGCTTAATGAGCCTCTGCCATCTGTTTATGAAAGCTTCAGGGAAAAGCGAGAGAGAAACAAGAAAATCAGATCCAGTAGCGATTTCCAGCTGTGTGAGCGCGCCTGATTTCCACTTCAACATTTCTAAACACATGAGGACATTTTAAGTGTAGTGACTTATGCAGCGTCATCTACTGTGAGTCAGTGACTGAGCCTGGGCTGTCTGCCCGGTATCAACAGCCTCTAAATCACTAGCTTCAACCATCGGACCACACTACCTCGCCTTTAGCTTCCTTGCCCCTCCTTCCTCTGTACCACCCTGGAGTGTCCTTAGGCCTTGTTTGGCTAAAGTATACACATGGCATGAGTAACTGAAGCCACCCAGGGCTCCCTGGCGCGGTGGCACGAGACACATACCGGGTTGCACAAGTCGAGAAGATGAAGTGTCCTGTCACTGTTTACGCGATACTCAATGCCTGATGCATACAAATACACACAAATACAATGACACAGCTCCAGGGAGATAAATACAGCAGCACTGGCTTGCATTGCTCCACACAGGAAACTGATCAGTCATTTGCTTCAGATAGATGCCTTTCCAGATGTGTAGGCGCAGCAACTCTTTAGATTCCAACTCAAGGAGCTTAGAAGTGGTCATTCTACCTCTCAGGGGTCTCAAATCTCTCACTTCACTTTGATCATGTCTTTTTTAATCTTAAAGCAAAAGGAAGGGAAGGTTTGAAGTGACCATAGCTCAGCCCCGTTAGTACTCGGCTAATTACCTCTGTAGTCTGCTTTGAAAGGGACTATTTCCATTTCCTCCCTGTTTCAGTTTCTTTGGTCCTCTCTGAACCCTATAATAGAGAATAGCACAATCCCCCGAAGGCAAGTAAGAGGTTAATGCAGAGATTGATGACTCTTTGTGGCCACTTGTTTGTAAATGTTTCCATCAGGGGTTAAAAGATCCCAAAGTAGCACCGTACATATGTGTGCAAATTGCAGATTCATTACAGTCGAGAATCACTGCGCTGCAAATGAATTTGGTGGGATGGGATGGGATGGTGGCAGGCGGGCGAGTAGTGGTAAGTGTAGTCTGGTGTGGGCAGCAATGATGGTGGTCCCTGACTGTCGATGCTCTCTCCTTTCTTTCCCTCCCTTTACTCCCTCATTCCCAGTACCCCGCCGTCCTCAGCCCATCTGTTCCTGCTTGGCCTC